GAACGAAACGGAGTGAAACGGAGTGGAGTTCAACACACCTGTAACCTATAAATCTAAACTAGGTTGAGCGAAGCTCACAAATTTTTACGACCTGAACGGAGCGAAGCGAAGTGAAGGCGTAAAAATTTTACCCGTTTTTAAAAATCCAGATCGATCTAGATAATTTGGTTGCATCTATGACCTTAAAAGTATTTAAAAATAAATATTGATATTGAAGTTCAACACACCTGTAATTTATAAACCTACTGTAATCTATAAGATCTGAGTTCAACACACCTGTTGTTTTATTTTTAATTTTTAATGAAACACGTCTTAATGTTTTTGTTCGTGTTTTTCAACTGATTTTTTTTATTTTCTCAGACTACTGAGATTATATTTTACACCTGTAACCTATAAACCTTCTGTAATCTATAAACAGTTGAACGAAACGGAGTGAAACGGAGTGGAGTTCAACACACCTGTAACCTATAAACCTACTGTAATCCATAAACAGTTGAACGAAACGGAGTGAAACGAAGTGGAGTTCAACACACCTGTAACCTATAAACCTACTGTAATCTATAAACAGTTGAACGAAACGGAGTGGAGTTCAACACACCTGTAACCTATAAACCTACTGTAATCTATAAACAGTTGAACGAAACGGAGTGAAACGGAGTGGAGTTCAACACACCTGTAACCTATAAATCTAAACTAGGTTGAGCGAAGCTCACAAATTTTTACGACCTGAACGGAGCGAAGCGAAGTGAAGGCGTGAAAATTTTACCCGTTTTTAAAAATCCAGATCGATCTAGATAATTTGGTTGCATCTATGACCTTAAAAGTATTTAAAAATAAATATTGATATTGAAGTTCAACACACCTGTAATTTATAAACCTACTGTAATCTATAAGATCTGAGTTCAACACACCTGTTGTTTTATTTTTAATTTTTAATGAAACACGTCTTAATGTTTTTGTTCGTGTTTTTCAACTGATTTTTTTTATTTTCTCAGACTACTGAGATCATTATTTTACACCTGTAACCTATACAAGAGCCTACTGTAATCTATAAACAGTTGAACGAAACGGAGCACACAAGTTGCAAAACTATCGAAGACTGTAACCTACTGTAACCTATTTTGAAGTCTGATCTACATAAGAGACTGACTGCGGAGTAGCAACTGGAGCGAAGCGGAAGTTGCAAAACTATCCAAGACTGTAACCTATGTTTAATTCTGATCTACAACAGAGAGTTAATGGCTTTCTTCAAAAGTCGTATTTTTTTATTTATAATTTTAAGTATTGTATTTTTTGCGACACTGGAACCATGATTTTCTTTGCAAAACGTGTTTTTAAGGCATTTTTTACTTTGTTGATAATACACTAAAATGTTTAGTTTAAGTTTTACATTTTATTGAGAGAAGATCTTTCAATATTTTCTGAACAGTACATAGAGAGTTCTATAGGATTGTGTGAATATTCCCATGAAGCGTGATCGGCTTCATTACTAGTTTTTATTTCCTTTTTTATCTTTTTTGACGCTATTTGATTTATTTTGGAAAGCGTGAAAATTCAAAAACTTTTCACCACACTCTCACATTTTTTTCAAGTTTCATACATTTTATACTTTTTTTAATTCATTTTTAAAAGTTTTTACATTTTTTTATCAGTTTTTTTCATTTTATTTTCTTGCTTTATATTTTTTAATATTTATGTGAGGAAATTTTCATGTTTTTTGTTTAGCTTACATTAATATCCACCTAATTTCTTCAAAAACGACGTTTATGTTTTGTTTTTTGATTCATTTTTATCAATTTTTTTTATATGAAAAACTTTGTTTTTATGCAAAATGATTTGTTTTATTTTAATGTAAATAGAAATAAATACAAATGGTTTTTAAATTTCAGGGATTTCTGTCAGAATTGCTGGCTATGAAATCAATAACTAGGTTTGCTTTACTTGAGAAAATCTATTAATGAGCAACTTCTTTTGACGAGACAAAGAATTTGACAAAAAGTCACATTTTCCTTTGTTTTTGCTTAAGATTAGTCAAGAAAACTATGTCAGATGTTGCCTAGTCACATTCACCAGCACTTCTGATCTCTGATAAGATGGGAAAATTAATACAAGAAAATTGGTTTATCCTTCTCACATAATAATATAATTTGGCTAATTTTTTCATACTTTCTTTTATCTAATATGAAGTTAAGATACTTTTTTATTTGTTAAGAGAAAAATAAGAAAATAGAGCTTTCATTCAGGAACGAAAAACAGAGATGAAAACAAATAAAGAAAAGAGTGATCTATGATACACAACAAAGAAAAAAAAAAATAATAATAATAATATCGTGGGAAATATAAATCAAAAACTATAACAAGAAAAAAAAAATAAAGAATAGAATTAACAAGAGGACAAATTAGAATAGTTTATAACTATAAAAAGAATTATCCTTTGAAATACGATAAGAGATAGATGCACAAAAATAATTTTTTTCTTCTTTTCTTTCATCTCAACTATTATTTTTTTCAATCAAAAAAAGGTTTTTGTGGATGCTCTTTTAATGCCAAACCACTTTAATTAAGAAAATTTTCCATTTACTATGAAAATTGTTTTGAAAACATTACAATTACTTAAAATTCAGAAACATTTATAAGGTTTTAAAATCAAAAAATGATTTAAATCTCTACAAATGTTTAAAAACACTCATCAATTGTATTGTTCTAAAACGGTGCAAGTCCTGATTGAAATTCAAACTAAATTTAGAGGTTATTCTTATTACTCTTAAAATAATGGTAAGAACAATAAGTTTAGATTATATATTCACAGTTTTGTGGCAATTTTTAAAAAATCTTCCTGTGGTCTGGCACAAAAAGAGCAGGTTTCATTCATTCAATGGAATTTATTTGTGGAACAGAGAATCATTATTTTAAAAATAATTTTTGCTGTCTTGAATGAAATTGTTAATACAAAAAAATTAAGTGTTTGTGTATATGTGTGTGTGTAAGTGATAAAAGTTTCGTTTGCATGAATATTAGTAAACTTGTGTTCTTTGTGTGCATAATTATTATTCTTCCAATTACACAATTTTTTTTGCTTTTTAACTCCATCATTCATTAAAATTATTCTTCACTAATCACAATATTCAATTTTTTCTTCATTAATTGAAAGAAAGCAAATCCCCATTTTATAATATATTGGATTTGTACTTTCTTTCCTATACCTTTTACAGCAAAAAATAGACTTCTTACTTGTAATTTTCTTTATCTTAATTTTGAAAGCCAATGAAATCAATAGAGAAATTTTGAAACTGAATTAATTCCTAATATACTTTCTACATGTTCAAATTTAAAGGTTTTCTTTGTTGCAAAATAAAAGTTTAACAAACTTCCGAGCCTGTCACAATTCCCATTAAATTTTTTACATTTTACAACATTATCAATGAAAATGGAAATCGTGAGCTAGGAAAGAAAAAATTTTGTTTGTGGAAATTATTACTTTAAGCTAATTTACTCTACATACATTTATACCAAAAACTCCAACGAAAAAATTTGTTCAGAAAATCATAAACGATTCTTTTAAATACAGTTCTTAGCCCCAATAAAAGCATTAAACCCCTTAAGACTGACTTAAATAGATTTTATGAATTACTAGATATCTTCACTAATGAAGCATTTTCCATCTTATGCTTCGTATTTTAAACTTTTTACTTCCTTCTTTTGGCATTTAAAGAAATTTTGAATGGAAAATTCTCCATAAATTTTCCACTTTCTAGTAACGAACTAAACTGTAATCGTCTATTGTACAGTTAACAATCTTTTACTAGAAATACTCCTTCAAATAAATAAATAATAACAATTTTTTATGCAATAAAAACTTGAACGCAAATTATAAAACATACATTACTCATATGATATTGCATATAAAATTCTTACGGTGAATGCTTTTCATTCGTTTTTCCAACAAACTTTAAAAAAATAATAAGCATCGTAAATAAAAATTATTCTTTATCAGCACATTTTTGCCAAAACAAATGCACTCATGTGATTGACTGAATATTTGAATGAATAAGTGTAATAATACTTTAGTGGATGTTTTGTAACCCTTTTTACATGGCTTTAGTCGCCTAGCAGTTCAAGGATGGATAAACTGAAGGATATAGTCCTCAAAATGTCAACTTTTAAAATGAAATGAGGTTAGGTACGCCATTCTGTCAGATGTTTATAATGACTAGTAGTTGATTGTAAGAACTTACGATGGTAGTAAGTAAAATAATGGGTTCAAATCTCAAACTAGATAAGAATTTTGATTGGTTTTTACATTCAAAGACTTGTTTGTCACTCAAGCAACTACAAGCTTGTAAGAGTTAATATCCTAAAATGCTCGTGATGTTCGAGAAGATAGCAATGTTTGAGGATAACAGTTAATTCCACTTGTAAATGACAAATATCCAGATAGGAGCATTGTGCTTTTGTTTTTACAAAAATTGAGCTGACAATTTCTATGTAAATAATAAAAGGTGTTTAAACTGATAATAAATGTTCGTTTAATGTTGGCTTTAATCGTTTTAACATGAATCAAAATAAAGATATATTTCAAATTAATTTTTCATTATGTTTCGTTATAAAAGTCTCAGTAATTAGGATTATCAACTCATAAATACGAGAATAATATGTTTTGACAATAACTGAACTATTATTTAAAGATTGTAAATTGAAAAATAATAGACATATTGATTAAAAAGTTAGAAATAAGCATACATCGAAGATAATAAGATAATGTTTTATATGATTACTGTTTATAACCATTATAAAGGCAATGTGATGAAATTAAGAATGAATTCTGTCAATAATTATATCCACTTTTTTGTTTGTTTATAAAATAATGAAATATATATGATACTTTTTTTTTTCAAATCGATTTTGTCTCATCATAAAACGCCAACGTGTCACAAAAATTTTCCTTATGCAAATTTTATGTAACCATTATCAAGAAAAAATTTACTATAATTATTATTTTTTTAAAATTGATTTTTCCGAGCATTTTTTTATGATTTTTTTGTATTATTTGAAATATTAAGCACGTCCTTCGCTTATATTAACGATTGACATAGTCAATATTACAATTAATTTTTTTTAAACCTTTTTTTTACTGGATTCGAAATTAATTTTGCTTTATATATGTGTGACTGATGAAAAGCGCTATTAAAAAAGAGCTTTTCAATATAAGTTTACAGTCACAACTTGATGATTTGAATAGAAAATGATCATCCAACAATCCGAAAAATTCTTGAAACCATTATTTTTTCTATATTTTTTTTTTGTAAATAATTATTTACCGTTTTTTAACTTGTTGTATTTCCATCCATTAATCCATTGTGATTTGCCTTGGTTTTTATTATAATAATTTTATGCGTGTATATGTGTGTATGTAATAAAGAAAAAGCGCAAAATGTATTTCCTACATATACAATGCTCTCATATTTGCTCGTTTTTTTTTTGTTGTTGTTGCTGTATTTAACGCGTTAGAGGCCGAGAAAGATCAAGCTGTTTGATAAGTGTATGCTGTTGTTGCAATATGTTTCGATAATAATTTGCGCCATCCATTTGATCCTTGTAGTACTGCGATTCTTTCATAAGAGCTCCAGCCATATCATTAACATTAATATTAAAGCAAGGATCAGCGTGAATAAGGAGGATCTTTTCGATATTAACTTTAAGCATTTTAGCAGCATCAATGAAGTAATTATTGGCTGGATCGTCAAGAAATGATGGCGGAGTAATTGAAGTGTCGAGATTTAAATGATACGTAAAGCCTTCCTCGTGTGTATGATAGCGTTTGTTTTCCAAGAGATTTTGGCATGTTGAATGTCTACGTTTACGATTCTTTGGTCGGTGAACTTCATTTAAATTTTGACAATCATTATTGTTTGTGTCTGCAGTAGAATTACTATAATTATTTATATTAAAATTATTCGTTTCAAGCGATTCCCTGATCCAACTCAATAGCTTCAAATATTTTTCGTGATTCTTATCCTTTTCCGGATTCTTATTCCATTGCCAATGCGTTAAAGTTATCTCGTCAAAATTCTCCAAATTAAAGACATTTTTCTGATGATGTCCACTGCTTACGATTGCAGACGTTAAGTTTTTTTGATTTTTAACATCAACATTCGTTTCATAGAATTTATTCTCGTCTTCTTCAAGTGTACACGTACCATCCATGCTATCGTCCATAATCATATTCATATAAACATGATTCATATCAAACTCCTCACAATCATCCTCTTTCTCTTCGTCACAATAATCGCTAGTAATGTACAGATTTTGTATAACATTCATGATCTCATCACCATCCATTTTTAATTCATCTTTCATTAAGCGATTTGCTGGCAACGACTTATCAGCATATGGGTCCTCATTCATTTGTGCACAACTCAAACATTGTTCCCAAAGACGATGCATGCATTGCGTTTGTTTATTATATTCGGAATCAATCATGTTATTGCCGTCAACTTTTACATTTCTCCAAGATTCCGAGGCATCATATGATGATGTTATTGTGCATATCGATGACGACGATGAGTTTGAAGAGAGGAGAATCTCTGGAAATGTTTGTGTTGATAGGTTGTTGTTGCTATTATTAGATGTTGTATTATTTTTGACACGATTTACTGTGAAGAATGAGTAATCGTTTGAATCATCAGCATTATTAACGAAACGCCACTTATTTCTGTTTTCAGCTGACGTGGAATCGCTGACGCCTTTAAAATATTCATCATAAATTTTTCGTTTGCAGTAATCTTCATTAATTTCCAAAAAACTATGATTCTTATCCATTGTTGCGGTTGCGGTTGTCTTTATAAAATCACTCTCAATCGTCTGACATTCCTTATTGTTCTCATTCAGTGCATATTTGATGACAAATTGTGTTGGATCATTTTCTATTGCAAAGAGATCAAGTTCATTTTGATATTTTGGAAGTTTTGACTTGTTCCAAACTCTATAACGCTTATCCTTATACATTAAACTACCACTTGCTGAACGCTCATATTCAATTTCATCCCAGTTACTTTCAATTATAAATGTATGACCATCGCGAATAATTGGCTCAAAATGTGTCTTTTCCGATGTTAAATAGTTTTCAGATGATTCCGACTCATCACTTTCTGGTTCGACTATACGCTCACTTTCATCTAAATTCGATGGATGATAATCGGCTCTTATAATTGTTGTGGATTGTGGAATAGGACGAAACTTTTTGAATGCGCCGCTTCTTTCAGAGTGATTAAATAGTGTTACTTCTTCATCATTACTGTCCTGTGCATCATCATTATCATTATTATTGTTGTTGTTGCTTGTTTCTTGCCAATGTTGCTTCATTTCCGCACCAATTGAACTCAGATTTTTGTAGATGTCATCATTATCGTTTGAAGTCGATGTATTCGGATCAGCGACCTAAAAATAGCCCGCGCAAAAGAACAAAAAGAGGAATAAAATAAAAAAAAGAAAAGAGAACATGAATCATGTGAAAAACAGATGACCTTGACGCGACTTGCATAAACGTAAAATGAAATACTAATACAACTGAATGAAAAACGTGTGCAGCAGTCTATATACATTTTTCTTTCCTTTACTACGATACTACAATATAGCAAGCACAGCAGTCGGGCAAAGGAGAGAAAAAAATACTACAACGCAATCAGTCCGATGCAATGCAAAAATTATTGTGCTAGACTTACCTCTTTGAAAATCAAGCTATCGGCATCGCTTGTAAAATCACCACTATCAGACCAGATTGATGTTTGGATGTTTGTGCCTGATTTAATGAAATCTGATTTTGTCATTTGATCAGATGTAAAGAATTGCCGTGGACTTGCGGTAAATGAGCTACTTTTGGAAATGGCGCCCCGTCCGCCATAAAAAGCCATTGGATTATTGTTATTGCAGTCATAGTCAATGTTCTTGTAAATTTGCTGCTGCTGCTGCTGATAATTTTCGGTGCATGGAGCATTGAACTCAACAAAATGATGTGTCTGTTCATTGAAGTTGAATAAACTGAGCGAATTCTTTTCACTTGTAAATGAACTGGCGAGACTTGCGCTGCCTTCATCCTCACAGTATTTGTGTGTCAATGGCTTTAATGTATCACATCCAACATCAACATCACCCCATATTGCCTTGACATTCTCATCAAATTTCGATTTTAATGAACTAATGGATAGAGCTTCCTTACTCTTTGTTGGTTTGTTTACCTTCACATTAAATGGATCATCGACCAGCGATTCATCAATTATGAGCTTTGTTGGTAGGCAATTCATTAGCAAGACATCATCTTCGTCCTTTCTTGAGCATCCTCCTTTGCGTTGTTCCAAATTATTATTAAAATTCATATTCAGATTAATATTACCATTATTATAATTATTTTTATTATTGTTGACATTGACGAAAGGATTCATTTGCTGTTGCTCTTGAAACTTGATCATTAGATCAGCAGGATTATTAATATTATTATTATTGAAATTCGTAGATCCATCATTCTTGAAATAATTGTATCGATCCATTTTTTGATAATTATAATTATTGACTTCGTCCTTTTGTTGCTGAATAAATTCACTTATTAAATCGCGATCCATTTCCCAATGGCCTTTAAAATCCATGTCCCAAGGTGCAGAACCAGTTGTTAATTCATCCAATTTCGGGGCATTTTTAACGTTTGAGAAATTATTGTTTCGAATTCCGCTGTTTTTATCGTACTTATTTATGGTTTTTGTTGATGCATCTGTAAATATCGTATAAATAAACTTATTAATAACGATCCGCAAGCTTATTGAGTTAATTATATTACATAAATTTGAAAAAAAAAAAATAATAATAAAACTTGTTGTTGTAAACAAAAATATTGAAAATTTTTCGTAAATTGACTTTTTTCAGAGAAAAGCCAGAAAATCAAATTGCTTTGATTGTTAAACGATTGGAAGTGACATTAATCAGCTATTGTGGCACTTTGAGAAGTATAAAAACTGATAAAAACAGGTAAAAACTTAAATTTTACGAAACTTTGTATTTTATGTCTATGTGGTAGTAAATTTTGAATTTAAATGTTGACAGTTAAAAAATGAGTAGCACGTGACTTACCGTATTGATTTCTTTGGTGATTTTTTCTGTTGCTACTTTTGACCATTTGCATTTTCTTTGGAGAAAATGTTTCATTGTCATACATAGTAAAACTTTTGGTGGTGAATTGCACGTCATTTTTCTTAGGAAAGCCTTTATAAGCTTTCCCATAGCGTCGCTTCCTTCGAGGTGTCCTTATATTACCATTATCGTTGTCAATTTCAAGCAAAGATGAAGAGGAAATCATTGAAGCGTCTTTCTTATTCGACATCAAATTAGACCAGGAGAGTAAATTTGTATTGGTCTTTTTACTGCTGTTGTTATTATTGTTGCCACTACTCTCTTCAATTTCTGTTAATAACGGTTTACGCTCAGCACTTGTTGTCGACGTCGTTATTTTCTTATTACCACTTAATGCTGGAAATGCTAAATAGTAATTCTTTGTAGAACTCTCATTTCCATGATTTCTCTTGATCTTCTTCAAATTCTTGTTGCTGTTATTATTCTTATCATACTTTGGTGATGACGCTAAAGAATTTGATGCACGACTGTTTGTATTCATTGGACTTTCCTCACAATTATTATTTTCAAATTTTCTCAATTTCAAATGTAATTCGTCAACCAAACTTATAATGCTTGATTTCTACAGAGAGAGGAACAAAAATAGAGAGTCAGATTAAAAAGTGAATTCATGACGATTATTTTTTTTTTCAAAATACACAAACTCTTTGACTATTATATAATATCACTATTTGCTATTGAAATGATATTTTTGTTTCGATAAAGAAAAAGAAGTCACAAAAATGTACAGTAATGACGTCGTCTGACGGACAAACAAACGAGTATGTACCAGAGGTCGAAGCCGACTTGAGTTCGCTCCGGTTCGGCTAAAAACCGATTGATTTTTGTATGGAATTTTTTCTGATTTCACTTGTGAAGTATAACTTTTCATACAAAATTCAATCGGTTTTTAGCCGAACCGAAGCGAACTCAAGTCGGCTTCGACCTCTGGTATGTACCCGTGAATCTTCGACTTTTGAGTGTTTGTTCTAGAAAAGTCTCGTCAAACTTAATTTAATTTTTTTTATAACAATTCAAACTTACATTTTCTTCAGCCGAAACTTCCATTAAGCTCTCCACAGCAGCTAGTCGCTTCAATTCTTCATTATTTTTGTTTGTAAAGCGATAAGGTTCTTTCAAGTCCTAAACAGAAAGAAAAAGTAAATTAAGTGTCATAAATATGTCATTATAGATAAGCAAATACTGTCGTCTAGTCCTTCTTCTTCCTTTTACAAAAAAATAATAATCTGTATATTACAAGAATAGATAATCTTAATGAGTCATAAAACAAGCTATACGATGAATATATTTAAAGAATTTCATTTGTGACTCACGTGATAATAAACTTATAATTATCAATGCATTTACTATGAATCTGTTTATTGTTTTTGTTCGTTCTTTTTTTTCTGTAACTTGAACGAACATGTTTTGTAAAAAAAAAACAGAACTAAGGACAAGTGATTGTTATATACAATCGATAAATATATGGCAAGTTCTATATATTCACAAATGATGCAATTTTCAGCTAGAAACCCTCACCCCCTGAATACGTCGAAGTAAAATAAGAAGCAGTGTCCTAAATAATATTGCTTTTATGACGTCACACGTGATTGACCATCAAAAAATATCTAACGACGTTCAAAAAAAGTGAAAAATAAAAAATTCGCGACTTACCTCCAATAAATCAATTGCATTCACTTTAAATGGCGTGTGGAGAAGAGAGAGCAACAGACGTGAATAAACGCCCGGATGCTCAATATCTAATTCTTCCAAACGCTTTATAAGCCAATCAGAAATTTCATTAACAGCTTTTGTAGACACCAGTTGAGGATACTTCATAACTTTTTTAAAGAATTAACGTGATGTTGATGTTGATGGGAAAAAATAAAACAAAAATCGCGGGAAACACAAGAAAGCAAACTCAGCGATGCTTATCTTGAAGCAGAACTATGGAATAAAAGAGAGAAAGACAAAAAAGAAAGAGAAATGTTTAAAGATAAAAAAATGATTTTTAACAAAATATGTAAAAGAAAGAGCGAGTAAATGGTATGCGAGAAGATAACCATGTTGTTTGAGAATGTGGAAGTGGAAATAAAGAAAAGAAGCAGCAGCAAAAAAAAACTTTACGGTACTCATCTACTTAACTTGGCCGAAAGAAAGAAGACAAAAAGAAATAAAAAAAAGAATTCGTAAGGAAATCACATGCATTATTCTCAATACACACGTCTCGGGTGCGCGCGAGTAGAATGAAGTAAGCAAGCACTTTATATCTTTTCCACTTCACACATTCGCAAAGTTAGTAAATACGCAAGGTTACTAAAGGTTAAGAAATCTATGGAGCGTTAATTTAACAGAACGTGGACCTACCTTAACGTAGTTCGTATGACAGCAGACTGATAAAAGAACTGAGATTGATGATATTTACTTCTTAGTTGTAATAATTTGCTGCTCTCTTAATTAAGAACACCTAGTCGATGCAGTAGTGATGAATATGATGAATATGATGATGATGTTACTATATTATTTCTATTGATATAATATAACTTCCTCTATTTACTTGCAAATGATGATGTTAGTTGTCGTCTCGACATTTAATAACATAATTCTTGCGAATATGTTACTAAACATTTTTTTTTTGGGGGGTAATTAATGAGCGTCGTCTTCACACAAACTTGATTTGAACTGATTATACCGCAAATAAATGTGTAAAAGAATTTCGTGGTTGATGGATTGGTTGTTGTGGTTGATGGATAGGATTCGACTAATAAAAGAAAATTACTAGTGACTCCTAATTAGATAGATGATAATAGAAAATTCTTTTGCTTTGTCTTATCCAGTGATGTTTTAATGCATCATTTTACGTCTTTTTTGATAGGCATAAAGCCAATTGTTTTGGGGGATGATAAAAGTTTTGTATTTTAAACATTCATGATGATATACTATTGGTACTGTACTGCTTGTTTTAGCGACAATCTCTCTCGAATATGATGGATGAGTGTCGAAACAAGAATTTTTCAAAATCGGCAAAACGGCTTGGATGGTTCTTAAACCTGGGTGGATTTTTCTTTCCTTTCTTTTTAGATCATCATCATTTTTGAAAACAGGATTTTGATGTTTCTCTTCCTTACTAGTTGATATATATTTTAAATATATTCTATTTAAATTAAACGCATTAAACGAAAAGAAAGAGAATTCCGATTAGTAATGGGGAAAATAAAGAAATGAACAACAAGCGAATAAGATAATAAGAAATCCCCGCACACATTTCTACACTCGACAATTCATAGTAAAATAGAGAAAATCATTTTCATTCACTCCGTACTCAAACCATCACATTTAAAATACATAGCAGCAGCAAGCACCCTACCCCACAAAAAAAAATTATTTCATCATACAAAGAAAATTTTTCAACTTCAAATTAAGCTACTCGAACTCATTCAGAACTTTAAAAACTATATTTATTCACGATCCTCACACACTTATCTCACTTTTTGCACTATTTTAAGGAATTAAGTGACAAGCTTTACCTAAAATAAAATTAAAAAAAGTTTTTAGGGAATGATTCCCAAAACTATTCAAGTCAATAATGTCTCACACGATTTAAACTAGGGGGTGGTCTAGCTTGTACAATTGGATATCAAATTTTTTAAATTTCAAAAATGTTAAACTTTTTCACCTTATTTCAAAAATTAAATTTGCAGAATCTTTGAAATTCTTCAACCTTCAATAAAGTTTGGTAAATCGATATTACTGACTTTAAGTAAAGTTATTCTTCATTTCGGCGCTACTTACTTTAAATAAGTTTAAAAATAACAATTTTTAAAAAAGATATTTTAAAACATTTTAAAATTTTCAAAAATATTGAAAAGTAAAGTAAATTTAAAAGTTAAAAGGTTTAAAAGAGAATCATTAAAACTTAAAGATGTTAAAATTAAAGTTTTCAATTTTTGAAACACTCAGCCTTTCCCCTGTTTTGCACATTATTCACGGAAATTTTTGTACGAATTTTTATTCTTATGAACCGTTGAGATTATTATTTATAAAACTCATTAATTAAGGCTGAATATTTGTCAAAAAATCAACTTAAAAAATTAATCTCTATTTGAAATTTAAAACATCTTTTTGAATCAGCAACTTTGGACAAAGTTGATTGAGTAAATTTCAAATCACTGCACAAGTCGCAGCTCGCAACCCCCTTTTAGTGACCGATAATTCGAGAAAAGCATTGTCTCATTTAGAAAATAATCCAGAACAAACTTTCATGCAAATCAATAAAAGTAAATTATATTAATCAATAATAGTAAGTGATTTCTATTAAGGATATCAATAAGAAGAACATGGCAAAGTGGGGAGAAGGTAAGAATAGTGTAAAATATTGAAATAAATAAGTTCTGAAATTTCTCGAAAACCTTGATATATAATTTTATAGGTGACCCGCGATGGATTGTCGAGGAACGACCTGATGCAACAAATGTCAATAATTGGCATTGGAAAGAATCAAATGCAAGTGGATGGAGCAAGGATAAATTAAATGAACTTCTATTGCATTTTGAAGTTAATTCACCCGACAAAAATCTTGCTGTGAAAATCATAGAATTTGATAAATTAGAAGGTGAAGCTATTGCCAACAACCGAAAAGGGAAGCTTATTTTCTTCTATGAATGGAACTTAGTGCTAAAATGGCAAGGAACTATACTTAATGATGAAGAAAAGCAGAAAATTAATGGGAAAATCACGATTCCGAATCTGAGTGAAGAAAATACAATAGACGAAATAGGTCAGTAAGGAAGTCTAAAGTTTAAATAGCATAATATATATTATATTATTATTGCAGATATAACTGTAACAGTCGATGAATCAAGTGACAAATCTGAAGTCCTAAAACAATTTATGTATAAGGTAGGCAGAGATAAAGTAAGAGAACAACTCGACAAGTACATAACATGTCTTAAAAGCGATTACGCTAAAAATCTCATCCTGCCCAAAAAGGATAATGCTGCACAGGTAAACTTCTATTACTACAATTTATATAACGAAATATACTTATTAATATCTTTCAGGCACAAACGAAAACAATGCCTGCAAATCATGTAACATCCAATAAAGCCGTCATTAATGATTCCAATATTAAGGCTTCTTCAAACGAAAAATCTGAAAAACCGTTGGGCGTTAAGATTGATTGTAAAACTTTAATGCTTGAAGAGAAGTTCCAATGTAAAGTTTCAGAATTGTGGGATTGCTTCAGTCGAATTGAACCTATGACTGCCTTTACACGCGGCGAAGTAAAGCTCAATTTTTCCAAGAATGGAGAGTAAGTAGTTTAATTAATAAAATTTTTATACCTAACGCTTACTTCTTTTATAGATTTGTCCTGTTCGGAGGAAATATTAGTGGTAAATACACAGAAATAGTCGATAGCAAGAAAATGGTGATGACTTGGAGATACAAACAATGGCCAACAGCTCACTATTCTAATGTCGAAATGGAATTTGTTGACATGGAAGATCATACATTACTTAGAATGACACAAACCTTTGTGCCAGCTAGCGAATTCGACACAACAAGGATGAACTGGCAACGATACTATTTTGATAGCATTCGAGCGACTTTTGGATACGGAAGTTTCTTATATTAAGCATTATCCATTCAATTATATCATATTTCAATTCACACACCTTTATCTTCCTTCTCGTAAATTAATTAATTCATTTCCGTTCGATAAATAGAAATTCTCTGTAGACACTTTCAAATTATTTCTAATGAATCGCTTTTTGCTAATTTAATACAAATATTATCCAAAATAAAAATCACCAACGAATTTTAATGAGATCATTAAATGACACAATGTATTTTGTTGACTAAGTATGAGAGCATTTTTATCGCTGACACGAAAATAAATTCTTTTCGATCAAAAATCAAAGGAGAAATCAAAAAAAATCCTTCGGGCCGGATTTGAACCAGCGACCTATGGATAACTGATGTCTCAGAAGAGTAAATTCCACTACAGTCCACCGCTCTACCAACTGAGCTACCGAAGGTTGTTTTAAAGATTGAAGTTTTTCTGCCAAAATCGAATTATGACATTATGCTTGGTTTATGCTGGAAATCTTGTAATATTTTGTTGCTTTCACATGAAACATCAATTATGGCTCCAAATTATTCCAATATATCAGAGAAATAGCATTCAATCATTAAATAGTAGCTCAAGTCAGCATGAAAAGATGTCTTAGAGTCTTATTTCATAACATTTTTAAGAACTTAGAAAAAAGCATCAAGGATTGTTTCATTTCAGCTTTGTTCCATTTTTCTTTAGAATGCATTTTAGGTTTGATCGATAGCATTCAAATTTTTGTGCTGCACAAGATGCAACGTGCTTGAAAACAAATAAAACTGAACTATTTGAATTTCAGAAAATTCGTTAAAATGTTTCATTTGATTCAAGACTAAAACATTCATATTACTTTAAAAGAATGATGAATTATGGTAATTTATGTTATAAGTAAATGTTAAAGTTGGAATTCTCCAGTGAAAATGGGCTAATGTAAGGTTATAAATGTATTTTGGCAGCAAACCTTCAACATATAAACAACCTTCGGTAGCTCAGTTGGTAGAGCGGTGGACTGTAGTGGCAAACATTTCTCAGATATCCATAGGTCGCTGGTTCAAATCCGGCCCGAAGGAACTTTTTGCTTTTTTTTAAACTTTTTAAAATTGCTTATTTTTAAGAAAGTTGATCTAATTAGCAATACGAAACTGGCTATTTTTAAACTGATACTCTTTATTTTTTGCATCATTAAATTTTACCATTTTTCAATATTACATTTTATTTTAATTTGTCTCCTGAACTAGCATTATTCATTTAAAGTTTCATATTTTATTTATTTATTTTTCATCAATTCATTGGATTCAGATTCTTTTCTTTTTAATAGAGAAATGTTTATATATACTTTAATTAATGATTTCAGTAAAATCAAGTGAATAATAAAAGAACTTAGGATGTCATACACGTTAAAACGATAATAAACACTTACACCATTAATTAGTTTTTAATTTCTCAATAAGTTTCTTATACGCATGGTATCTTGACATTTTTGTTATTTAATTACCATATTTTAAACTTAAATTTATGAATGAAATTTATCTTGTATTCACATCTACCGAATTATCTTTTTAATATTCAAATCGTCTCAATTTCTTGTTGCAGACACTAATTTATCAACTATCTTTAAACAAATCTATAGCTACGATTGCAATTAAATCATTTATGTCCAGGCACAGATGTATGCCTAGACTCTTTAGATTAAAAATTTTGAAGACTTAAAAAATTTTGAATTTTTTCATCAAAAAGGTAATAAAAAATAATAAGGAAGAAGTCTAAAATTGCCATTGTAAGTTTAAATAACGTAAAAAATCTTTAATGTTGAACATATAAAATAATAAAAATTAACTCTATAAATCTATCATTCTTAAAAATTATTTTGTAAACAAGTATTAATGGACATTACGAACATATTCACACCATATTTAATTCAATTCTAATGTGACGAAACGTAGAAGAACATGCATCAACAAATCTTGTTGAAAAGCTATCAAAGAACTTTTAATGGAAATACAACTTTGAAAATCAATTTCAAAGACATAGGTTGAGAGCTAAGTTTATGTCTTCACATGCTATGTTTATGGACACAAAAAAAACTGAACGTTAAATTTATGAAGAACCAGAACTGGCTTCGTTTTTGAAAATTCAAAAAAAAATTGTGACAGAAATTATTGAAATAAAAAACTTTACAGCACTTTTGATTATCAACAAAAATCAGAATAGAAATAAACATCCGCACATTCGTGGAATGATTTGGTGTGAACATGATTATAAGTTTCTCAACGTTGTCACAATGAAATTTAATACACTTTCCATTACATTAAGGTTTCTATTATAGTTAAAAATTAAAGCATCAAAAAAATTAAATTGTTGACGAATATACTTCATTCTTATAAAAGGACAAAAAAAGGACACGATACACTTTGTGTGTGTACTTACTATCTCTCTCTTAGCTAAATGTATTTTTTTCTTCATTTTCTATTCTCATTTAAAATTTATAGTTTAATTATCTTTCTTTAATTTAAATAAGTAATAATTTTTTTTATCCACTAAATCTTTCATTTTCTTTTAACCGTGATAATTATGATAACGTGTTATGTCGTCTGTAGTCGGTTCCTGCAAGACAGTATTATCATAAGTATAGCTTGTCTGTAGAGGATTCCGTCCACAAAAGACTTTAATTTTTTTAGCTAAAGGTTTCTTTTACGCCAGACGTGTGTTTGTGTGTTTTGTAAATATTCGATTTAAATGAATTAGATTAGATTATCAATTAATATTACTTTGATTACATATATCCAATTTATGTAAGAAAGAAAATATTATCATTTTACTAACTTTATACTTGATGTCATTAGATTTAGCCTCATCATTTCTTTGATCGCGTATTACGGGCTCTTGATGATGCTTTTGTTGTCGATGCTGGCTCTGAGGAGGTCTCTACATTACTTACTGTAGCTATCTTTCCTGTAATTTTCTTTGAAGGACTTTCGGGTGTACTTTTAACAGCTATCACTGAATCATTTGCCTTTTCGGCTACCTTAGGTTCTGATTTTTTTGCAGGTGATTTCTTTTCAACTGGAGCTGCTGTTTTCTTACTCTTTGCGCCTTTTTTCTCCTCTACTTCAGCCTTTTTAGCAGGCTGTGGCTCAACTTTCTTCACTTCAGGTTCGACCTTTTTCTCTGGAACGTCCACTTTTTCTACAAAATGACAAGTTAAGATTAAAATAAATCCAACGATTAAAGTCAACAGTATACTCACCATTTTTCTTAGGTACGCCTATAGCTTTTGATACTGTTTGTTTGACAGGACTTGTTACCTGTGCCTTTACTTCTTCAACCTTTTGAACTTTTGGACTTTTTATTGCTGGCAACGGTTTTTCAGCTCCTCTTTTTCGTCTAGATTGTTCTACATCCTTGCTTGTTGTCGGTTGTTGATTGATTTTTTCTGTTGCTTTTTCCTGTTTTGCCGGGGTTTGCTAGAATTTCATTTCATAATTGGCAATTAGTTTTATATGAGGGAAATATCCATAATTTAATTTTTTACCTGGCTTTTAGCCTTTTTTTTAACTTCCAATAAATTTTCTTCATCACTTTCTGAACTATCGTCATCCTCTACAATAATTTGTTTTTTCGCCGTTGATCTAGGCATAAGAATTTTTTTGGGAGTCGATGTTGATGACTTTGTAGCTACTTTCTTCTTTAATGGCTCATCACTGTCAATATCCTCACCTTCATCGCTACTTTTCTTTGAATTCTTTCGTTTCTTCGATGATATTTTGTCAAGTTGTGACTCGTCCTTGTATATCGATAAATCCACTAAAATAAGACATGAACATTAGTAATAAATAAGATTATAAAGCAATAAATGAAAACGTACAGCCATCAGGATTTTCCTCAGTAACATCTGGACGAGGTAATATTCCCTTTTCAACATCAATTGCCTTCTTTAAGATATTTTCGACCCTAGATAGTTCTTCTTTTGGTAATTCATATGTCTTGGAGTCTGTTTTGTCCAGTTCCACTGTTGTCAATACGCACTCAAGATCAGTTTGATCATAAAAGTCTAAATTGTAAATTCGTCCACCATTCTCATTAATCTTTCCTTCCTCTTTTTCATTCAACCAACGAATCTTAATTTTTGGTGATGATTTGTAGACATTATGCATGGCTTGACATAAGTAGAATCCACCTTCACCGTTGCGAACAGCAAGAAATTCGTTTCTTAAAAAGATTATTAAATTTTAAAAATGTTTGTAGATTATTAAGGATCAACAATCAACTTACTTGTAAAATATAGTCAGCTTATCATCACCATTCTTTGTAGGATTTGCAATTTGTGTTGATAATTTAGTCACAAGTGCTAATTCAGGTGTTGGACTTTGATATGGTTGTACTTTAGTGCGAACTCTCTTTGTTTTTGGAGTGACATTTTGATTTGTCGTCGATGGTCCCGCGTTATTAGATTTTGGAGATGTTTCTGTCTTCTTGACTGTTGGATTATTTGCAACAGTTGTTGGAATTGATGAAGTTGCTGCCAATGGCTTAATCGGTGTTGTTTCTATAGGTTTTTGTTCCTCAACTTTTGGAGTTTCAATTTTAACAGGTATAGTTGCCTTGGTAGGTGTTTTTTGTGGATTAGGTGTCGTTACTTTCTTGGGAATCGTTGGTGGTGGCTTTTTACGTGGTGGCGTTGTTACTGTTGCCAATCTCATTGTACTTTTGCTGCTTTGAGGTACACTGCTTGTTGAATTTGAAGCTTTTGGTGCCGTTGCTTTTTCTGGTGTCACTTTCTCAACCTTATTGCTGCTGCTACTGCTTTCTGCTTGTGGATTTAAAGGAACTGATGGCGGTTTCTTCTCATCATTTTGTTTAACAAGCTCTACTGATACTTTTATAGCTGGAGATTTACTTTGAAGTGGTTCCTTTTCCTTATTAATCGGTTCGGTTACTGCCTTTTGTGCTGCCTGTCCACTCTGATTGCTAGGATTATTATTGTTATTTTTGTTAGCTGAAGGCGTTGCCGCCGTATCAATTGGTCCAGTTTGTGCTTTAAGATTATTGGTATTGGGTGATGAAGAAGGGACATTTGATGGTAATGGCACTATATTAGGTGGTGTGACAGGAATATTTGGATTATTGACAGTAATGGGAGATGATGAAACAATAGGGGTATTCGGAAGAGAAGTAGATGGAATTGCAGATGAAGTTAATGGCTGCTTATTTGGTGATGTTGAAGGTACAGATTTATTGACAGTCGGGGGTGTTTGAGCGACTGGAACTGAAGGATTGTTTGTTGGACTTGTTATTGATACCGTCGAAATTGGAGGAGACGAAGTTGGAATCGAATTGCCAGTTGATGCCACAGGTGAATTTACATTAGATGTCATAGTTGTCGGTGTTGTGGAAGGCACATTCTTAGTTTGCTGTGATGTTGGAGGAATTTGAACTGGATTTTGAGAAACAGATACAGGAATTTGTGGAGATGTTGGGGATTTCTGTAATTGACTTCCTGGCGTTGCCAGCTTGGCAGTTGTTTTCATTTGTGGATGAATCGGCTTAGTTGGTGAATATTGAGAATGCGAATGTGACGCTGAGCCTTGATTTGCAGATGGCAAATTTCCACTTCCATAATTCATGGTAGATGCCTTAATTTGATGCTGCTGAGACGGATACATTTGCTTATTTTGATTCATTTGTTGAGGAATCGACGCTTGAAGTTTCTGAGAATCTTGAGCGACAGCAGAGTGCATGTTTTGATGATGCTGAGATTGTTGCATATTCTGTGTTTGCGACTGATAGGATTGAGAAAACTGACTTGTCATCTGTAAGAGATTGACTTTATTCATTGCAGCCATTTGTGTTATTGATGACATTAATTGTTGCTGCTGTTGAAATGTCACTTGCTGTTGTGAGGTCATTTGATGCACACTCTTATTGATTTGTTGATGACCCGCAACATTCATATTTCGATTCATATGTGGAACTGGTTGTTGTTGTTGCTGCTGCATTAATAACTGAGGAATATTTCCGCTCATTCCATGATTATTATTATTGTTTTGTGAATGAATAGTTTGTTGATTTGCCATCGAACTCATTTGGGGGACTTGCTTATCATCATTAAGCTTCTGCTGTTGCTGTATTCCGCTTGCTGTAGGCTGATTATTTGGGAATGATGTATTTGACATATTACTTCCAGTTTCTTTCTGTTGTACTCGAAACGAATTGAAATTTATCATCTGAATTCCTAAAATAATTGATTTATATGTTATTTACAATCATCAATGCACTCTATCTACACAAACAAACAACAATTTATAATATATTCAGTTTTTAGCAAGCGATAAGAAAAAATGTATTGCAAACATAACGCGAAAAAATTGGCATTAAAAAAATTTGCAAATATCCCGCAAACTAATTCATCAATTTACCAGATTAAAAATCAATTGTGTGCTTCCTTTCCTCCTTATTATTGTTTCCAAGCTGTTTTATTTATTAATTAGCATTAACTTGCTCTTTTTAATGCTTCAATCACACAGAAAAATTCTGTTTTTTCTTTCGGTTTTCTGTAATGGCTGACAAATTCAAATTTACTGCGTTAACTCCCCCTCAACTTTTCTGATATTCAAACTTTTCACATCCGTTAAAACTCACCGGCTTTTGTATTATTTTTATATGCACACAGTTTTACATCATTTGCAAAAAACAGATTTTAAATTGGTTGCGGCATTGCTGAGAAAATCGCAAAACACGCTTTCTGTAAGCACGCAAACAAGCATGCAAGTTAATCAGCAAGAAATCTTTTCTCTGCTTCAGAAAAAGCAAAAAACTTTCCTTTCTTTCGAATTTTTCAAATAAAAGTTTACTGTGATTTTTATAAAATTAAACTTTGGATGCAAAATGTTTTTAAAAACTTTTATATACGCTAGCTTTATATCTTCAAACTTATGGTGAGCGAAGATCAGCTGACTCGCTAGCTTTATACCATCAAACTTATGCTGAGCAAATCTTTGTGTATCCATAAGACTTTTGATGGAACGGTGTGAATATATCCGAATTGGGTTTCTACCCGATACACTAGTCTTTGTTGATTTTTGATTCATTCTTAAAGTTTTAAGAACTTTAATTACTAATTATTTTAATGCTAATATTCAAAAAAATACTTTGTAAAAAAAACTTTTTAAAAACCACGTTTCAACCCGTGGACTGAAAAGTAGAAAATAACTTTTTTATTGGGTTCAAAGGATATTGGTTTGAAAATTTGAGATTGATTTGAATGTTTCATACTTAAGTCATGACCATACATGAATTTCAAATTTGTTCACTTCGACCATATCTTAAAACGTGGGCGCATTCATTAATATTGAATATGTGGAGAGCTTAAATTTCTTAAAAAAAGTGACAAAATTGATTTTGACTAGGGTCGCCCCTAGTCCAAAATTGAAAATGTATTTCCTTCTTGGTTCTTTGGTCCAAAAATTTTAGGATGTTTTATTTGTATTTGTTTTAAGCACTAGAATATTTATGCAAAATTTCAATCCATTTGGAAAAACCCTCGAAGAAAAAAGTGACAAAATTGATTTTGACTAGGGTCGCCCCTTTGCTCAAAAAAATTTTAGGATGTTTTATTTGTATTTGTTTTAAGCACTAGAATATTTATGCAAAGTTTCAATCCATTTGGATAACCCCTCGAAGAAAAAAGTGACAAAATTGATTTTGACTAGGGTCGCCCCTAGTCCAAAATTGAAAATGTATTTCCTACTTGGTTCTTTGCTCAAAAAAATTTTATGATGTTTTATTTGTATTTGTTTTAAGCACTAGAATATTTATGCAAAGTTTCAATCCATTTGGATAATCCCTCGAAGAAAAAAGTGACAAAATTGATTTTGACTAGGGTCGCCCCTAGTCCAAAATTGAAAATGTATTTCCTACTTGGTTCTTTGCTCAAAAAAATTTTATGATGTTTTATTTGTATTTGTTTTAAGCACTAGAATATTTATGCAAAGTTTCAATCCATTTGGATAATCCCTCGAAGAAAAAAGTGACAAAATTGATTTTGACTAGGGTCGCCCCTAGTCCAAAATTGAAAATGTATTTCCTACTTGGTTCTTTGCTCAAAAAAATTTTATGATGTTTTATTTGCATTTGTTTTAAGCAGAGGGCGAAGTCGACTCAAAATTTGTATGAAGTCGAGTGAACTCAAGTCGACTTTTCCATACAAAATCCGAGTCGACTTCGCCCTCTGGTTTTAAGCACTAGAATATTTATGCAAAGTTTCAATCCATTTGGATAATCCCTCGAAGAAAAAAGTGACAAAATTGATTTTGACTAGGGTCGCCCCTAGTCCAAAATTGAAAATGTATTTCCTTCTTGGTTCTTTGCTCAAAAAGATTTTAGGATGTTTTATTTGTATTTGTTTTAAGCACTAGAATATTTATGCAAAGTTTCAATTCATTTGGAAAAACCCTCGAAGAAAAAAGTGACAAAATTGATTTTGACTAGGGTCGCCCCTAGTCCAAAATTGAAAATGTATTTCCTTCTTGGTCCTTTGCTCAAAAAAATTTTAGGATGTTTTATTTGTATTTGTTTTAAGCACTAGAATACATATTGTCATCGGAAAGATAATTGGATGCAAAATTTCAGCTCGATTGGAGCAATAAAAGTGGTCGAAAAATTGATCGCAAGATTTGACCACGACAAACAGATAAACAGTTAAGAAAAGCGTGGTAAAATATAAATTACTTTTATTTTTCTTTCTAACGGATTTGAAGAATTCAAACTTTGTTTTTATGCTAAAAGTTTATGCGAAGGAGTGTCCTTGAACTTTAATTGTCGGAATGTCCAAACATTTCATAATAATCAGTCGAAATTTGTAAGATTTTCATTTTATTTAACTAATTACCCAGTGATATACAATAGTTTTGGGAATATCCTTTCAACTAGTCATTTAACTTAATTAAGATCTTCAAGTTTGGACGAAAAACGCTTTCGTAACTTTTCATCGAGCACTTTTCAGTCTGCATATTTTGTGAAAACATTACTTTGTCTCGAAAATTACTTCAATCACAAGATTAATCAAGAATAATGACACAACAGGAAGCACATTCAACGCCAGAATTGGAATGGATTCAAATGAAGAAGGATTTCGACACAGAAAGAGCAAATGAAGAGACTGCAAAGGAGAAGTTCATCAGAAAATTTAAAGCAAATCCATTAGTTCCAATCGGTAAGTTAAACAAATAAGAAAGTTACAGAAATGAAAGTCATTGTCCATGTATAATTTTATGTAGGCTGCTTGGCAACTGCAGGTGCATTATCGTTTGGATTGTATAGTTTTAAACAAGGCGAGAGGAAAATGTCGCAAATGATGATGAGAGTTCGAATATTGGCACAAGGATTGACTGTTGGTGCTTTAATTGTCGGTGTCGCAGCAACTTTTGGTACTGATCAACTCAAAAAGGATAGTTCTAAGTAGGACACAAATTATCATTTTTTCAAGTGAGCTTCATCATTGTGTAAATTAACAAAGAAAATTTGGAAATCAAACAATTTGTATATTTAATGTTATTAATCAAAATATGTAGTTTTTTGCATTAGCGCGTACTAAAAGTTTTATTTCATAAAGTTTAATTAGAATGTGAACATTTAATACTTTTTGTTATTTAATAATAATTCTAGAATCCAGCAACTCCACTATGATCTTTACGATAATCAGATATCGCGTATACATTTCGCTCATCTAATGCCAAAGCATTGATTATCGTTCCTCTATTTCTGTATCTATAAGTCGCATGACCTTTCAGCATTAATCCTTCAATTACGTTACTAGTAATTCCATACTCGTATTCAAAGATATTTGGAACTAGCTGATGATGAAATCTTGGAGCATCGATAATCTCCTTTAGATCATTTGAACAACAAAGGAATCTCAAAATTGCAATTGTAAGTGCACTACTGATTTTACTTCCTCCTGCTGCACCGATAATTATCTGAGGCATTCTAGTTTTCTTGTCTATCACAATAACTGGCGAAATTGAGGATAAGGCTCGTTTTCCAGCTTCTTGGTAGTTTGTAGCTGTTTCCTTTAGTCCAAAGTAGTTGAGATCACGTCCTGGAAATGAGAAATCATCCATGCCGTTGTTAAAAATTAGACCAGATTTCTCGCCGGTAATTCCAGCTCCAAAACTATAAAATTAAAAAGAATTGAGTAATTAACGGCTTTTACAATTTTTAATGAAGAACCCTTCAACAGTTTTAAAATTTACCGGCATTTGTAAGGTTCTACAACATTTACACATGGTCAACTCACTAATAATTGATCGAGCTTGTCACAGAAACTGAGTCTCTATTTTCAGTAACGATGGAAATATGAGAAGTTCCATGATTCTGAGGTATAGTTTCATTCAGGCCATAATCGTCAATATTAGGCTTAACAGATGTATCATTAATTGACTTTAAAATGTAGTTTGTAAACTTTTCAGATAGTAGATAATCAGTAACATCGCTTATGTCTATAAAGTCAGGATCGCCAAAACGTGATCTCATTGCAAATGCATATTTAAAAGTCTCAATAATTCGATGATGTGTTAAAATTGTATTATTAATAAAATTCTCGCCTTCAAACCACGACGAAGCATTAAAATTGTATCGCATTAAAGTTTTTAAAATTGATGGAATCAAAAGAGCTAAAGAATTAGGCACGACAATTGCATGATTATCATTAATGTCAATAATTCTTCCATCATAAATCTTGACATTGTATGATTTGAGGTCGTCAATTGTGATAATGCTGTTTACTTGTTTCAAGTCATTAACAATCATTTCACCGATGGAACCAGTAAAAATGTCACCAGTGTCATTATGATTAGATAATAATTCTAGAAAATTGCATTGCTTATTTAAAATTATTTTAGTGCCGATACGTTTGACTTTTCCTGAGGATCGTTCGATAAACAAGTCACGTAAATATGTGTCGTTAAGGATTCGTTCATTAAAGTCTATAGAATCTCTCAAGTGCTTAGTCATTATTATTCCAGTTTTACAGAGATCAATTAATGGTATCAATATTTCCTTCCATGTAAGTTTTGCGAACTTCTTGTGCATCTCCCAAATTCCTTTTAAAAATCCAGGAACAGCTATAGCCATACCTCCATGCTTTACAGTATCAAAATTCTCAACACGTAATGGAAAGTTCTTTGGTGACACCATTTGTGCATCAATTATCACTGATTTCTGTTCAGATGGGATGTAGGCAGTAAGGAGAAATCCTCCAAATAATCCAGTTGACTGAATATTTGTCATACCATTGCAAATTAAAGTGCTAATCGTCGCATCAAAGATATTTCCATTTTCATTTTCTCTCAGCAAATTTCTGTGAATTAAATAACGGATAAAAATTATTCGAATTGGGCTAATCGTTGATTTTGTCAAAAAATGCAAATAATCCAGTTGACATCATTAAGCGAGAGGCCCGCAGAAAAAAACAATTGGAAAATCATTCAAAAAATTTCATTCAATCGATTAACATCGTTTCTTGAGCAAATATTAATTAATCAATAAGATTAAAAGACTTAAAAAGCTGATTACTAGTACAAAACTTCGAGTGTAAAGCCAATTTAGTGATATTAAATTATATATTTTAGTGATTTAACTGGTAAATATGAATAAATTCTTTTTCAATTAAAAATGTCCATTTTCTTAAAGGAAATCATTGTTCTTTACACGCGCAATGTCTATTCATATCTTTAAAGATCATTTTAATTACTTATATGTGTGCTTTTTCCTTACACTTACACAGGTAGATTTTTCTTATTCTTGAAACAAATAACTTTATCAACATGAGTAGCCCCAAAAACAGCAATCCAGACTATGAGAAATATGAACAATATGAGTTCGAGAATGATAAGCACATGTATAGTGGACATTCAGGTAAAGGCAGAACAAAGGCTGAGGTAGCAGCTCATACAAATCACAATGATCCAAGTGGACATACTCGTAAGATTGTAACAAAACTTCAAAACTCTGAGAAAAATAAGAAGGAAGCAAAGAATTAAGTATTTCCAAGCATTCATAAAAAATCTCTGCCAATCATTAAACTACTACGAAAATCAACACTACTTAATATTTCTTTCTTCGTCATCAACAGCTTAAAAATTATTATCAAAAAAGTCGTGAAAAGTATGTTATTGATAACTACTATTATTAATGCGTTGTTTTCGTTAAGAAGCAACCTTTAAACGTTTTTCTTTTGCAAAACTGGATTTATTTTACGATAACACAAGACTTGATGCAAAAGATGTGTTCATCAGTCATTTAATGAATTAATTGTAAATTCTTTCATCCCAGTTTATAGCACGCAAGCTATTAAAATTGCGTAATGTTTCTAATCTTTTTATTCTTCGTACTATTATTAAAAATAAAGTTTATTTGGAGTTGATTTGCCTTTTGTTCTAAAAGATCCCCTATCTATCTTGTCATGTAATATCTTTGAGATAAAAATTATAAGCATTAAATAATGAATAAAAAAAAATGTTGTAAGAAACTCAAGTTCTACCATGTATATATGCTTAGCTGCGACGAAAATAGAATAATATTATTATTTTCAGACATTCATGAGCTGTGAGTGTTTGTGACTTTTTCGTCAAGACACGACTTTAACTTGTGGCTGTATACTGTATGTTTTCCGTTTGTTTTTGTTTATAATGTGAAATGCCGGTACGCAATCTTGTTATTCAACTTATTCTCTTTGTTTCATTTTTCTTACATCCATAATCGTTCAATACAATGTATTTAGACCGTCTTATCTTATCAAAATTCTGTTTGCACTATCGGGAGAGTTTATAGAAGCACATTTTTTTGGTACTTCTGTCAACAGCAAGAGTTGAATGAACAGTTTTGAGTTCATATTGGATGTACATTATTAATACTTTAGGTATTCAAAATACAATAAAGCCACAATGTAAAGTGAATAAGCACCGATCGCATGACCTTCACTCGTTTTAAAAGGTTGAAATTTCCGAACACAAAGACGCATATAGCGTGATAATAAGGCAAACAAGCTGAAAAGCTGATTGAAAATTCAGCAAAAAAAACTGTTTATCACCTACATCAATTGACCTATTTTGTCTGTATCAACAACATTAAAAGATGTTGTTAATTTCTCCCACTATCAAAACGTGCCAAACTTCCTCATTTCCTGATTCTATTTTTGATCATGTAAGCCGCACGAAAATGAAAAGTAAAGAATCAAGTTTAAAGCGAAAGTCAGAAAAATAATTGAAATGAATGTGGTTCTTGTGAAGCTAAGAATGAAGAATTATGAAGCACAAACACAAGTCAGAACGAATACAAAATACAAATTCATGGACTTTGAGAATCTATAAAAATTACTTCACTTATGCACGCATACAAATGTGAGTAATGTAAGTAATTCTTTGCCAAATCCATTCTCATGCTTTATAAAGCTTCATGTGCATATATATATATATATATATAAATATATATTTCAAAACTTGACGATGAACAAAAAAAAAACGATTTAATTTTTCACGTTCATACATGATATTGCGGCACGTTGGTTGTGGAGATGTTTTCATCATATACAATTTAAAATAATATAAACGCGAAATTTATCACGAACTGTTTCATATAAAAAGTATTTTTTTTATCATTCATGTTAATAAGATAGATAAAGTTTAAACAGCTGTGATGATTGTTTTCGATAAAAATGACTGTGTTTTTATCTTTGGACATTCTTTTCAGGAGAGTCATTTACATCCATTCAAGGATGTTGAGCTTAAACTCTTCAACAACTGCATTTTGTGCTAATTTTTAAGGTTTAAATGGTTTGTTTTTATTTTAAAACATTACAACAGCACAAAATGTCTTAAAACCCTACACATTTTCTTTTAACATGATAACCATACAACAGTTAATATCGCAATCGAAATTGTAAGGTTTTCAAACATTTTTAAATTTCTTATTCGCCGTTCAAACAAAATTAAACATTTAACAAAACACAATTAAGAAATTAAGCATTGAAAATTGAATTCTACGCTTCAAGGAAAATTTACGAATGTATGTCGAACTTCAAGAACAGACAGCTCAGGTTATGGAGTAAGTAATAAAAAATATTAAGCTAGTTTACCTTGCAATATCGCTACATGCTTGACTATCGGATGAAACAGCCGCATGTTTGAATGTATAAAGCTGTGACGACGAGGGTGGCAATGATTTTTCTGGATCTGGGATATTTCTTTTGTTAATATGCTCTTTATGGTCTGGCTCATCATTTTTTAAGAGTAACACGATCAGAATCATTAAGAATATTAACATACAGAATATTTTCCTGAAATTAAGGATTATTTAAAATGAGTTGTGCTTGACTAGAAATGTCTGAATAGTAATTCACCATTGAGGAGCATGTTGTTCGCTATTTGCATGGTATTTGTTCTGCCTGAAGAATTTTCGATCCAGGAAATCCTTTGAACGTCTTGATCTACGCTTAATTATAGCCATTTTTCAAAATAACTCATGGCACTCGGGAGTTTATCGAATTTTTGTTAAAAAAATCTAAAAACAACGATGTGCGCATGACTAAAAGCCTTTTTTATATAAATTATACAGCATACAGCCATAATGTCAACTGAGTAATGATATCAAAACATTGTTAGATTTTGAACAATCAATTTATTATATCTTCACTATTTCATTTCCATATTAATCTTATTAAAAGGGTATAATGATGAGGTTTACGGCCATGATGGCTTATATCCAGGAGCTGAAGTGTTTCGTCCATAAAGTGAAGACCTATCTCTATAAGATGTCATTCTCTCCTTCTCTTTCTTCTCAAGAAACCATCCTAAAGTAAGTCCAGTCAATGGAAATACCCAGACCCAGTAATCTTTTGTAATACCAATATATCTAAGAACCATATCTGATGTTTTTGGATTTACTGTGACTCCTTTTGCAGCTTTTTCTGGAAATCAGCGAGCGACTTTTTATACTTTTGTGTGTGTGCGTAATCGGCGACAATAGCACCGATGCTAAATGTTGGAAAGAGTATAGACACACGATATCTACGCAAGAAAACTCCAATAGTACTCACTTGGCCCATAAAAACCTTAAAACACAAGAGAAAAATCGGAATTAGAGGTTTATTAAATGACAATTCACGTGACTTAATAGTGAAATAAGCTAAAAATGTGTTACTGTTTAATGCTGTATGTCTTATAATGATAATATAATAGAATTAACAGGAAGTAATAGGAAAATTGTGTAAAAATTTACCAAAACAAAAAATTATGTAAAATTCTTGAGAAACATTCAATTTGTAGGGTTTTGAGTTTCCCGTACAATTTTAAATTGTTTTTTGAATATTTGTTGACTGTTATCTTAACTCATGAATGGTGAGAAATAACACAATCAAGTAAATTAGACATTAGTAACACGATTATTACAATCTCGTTAATCAAATAAAATAAAAGATAAGCGAATTGATTAATTGAGAAATTGCAGATTTAAGAAACAAATGTTTAACAGTCAAATAATTTTGAAAATACTCAAAAAGAAGTAAAAGCATAGTTGAGTACCCCTGATTTCCATATAAAATTAAACCGCTTAAAATAAAGGCTGATTTCAGCGTATAACATTAAATAAACATTTCTGAAGTTTTTTGATCACTTGATTTACACAAAAAGTATTTAACGATGTCTGATGAAAAGAAGGTAAGTGTTCGTTCGTCAATAAAGTGCATAAATTCACGAAAAAGTGAAATTTTAATTTTTTTCGGCGTCATGGCTTCTAGAAACTTTCAATTTTCTTAATATATGTATTACACTCGAAATATGCATGTAATATAGTCACATTATGTAAAATAATGTATAAAACTGCATTAATCATGCATAATGCACCCGAAAGGTGTAATTAATGCACGTGAAAAGCTACAAAATGCTAGAAAAAAATTTAAAACCACTTTGTGATATCCAAACAATCGGATCAATGCCAAAAAAACAGTAAACAAACTTAATTTACACACAAAATGCATTTTTAATGTGAAAATGAAGATTGAATGGCTATGAAAAGTATTCGTCTGGATGTTGGGCGCATCTTTTGGCAAAGTTTTCCGTGTATTTACATGACCAAATTGTGTTTGTGTGTGAAAAGTTGTGATTGTATTAGTGTACAAATTTCGAGGTTAAGTTTTCATGTCTTCCCAATGACTGATTCTTTCAATCTTACAGGAAAAGGGAAACGAAAGCGAGCATATCAACTTAAAAGTGTTGGGACAAGATAATGCTGTGGTTCAATTCAAAATTAAGCGCCACACACCACTCAGAAAGCTTATGAATGCATACTGTGACCGTGCAGTAAGTATCAAATTTATGCTGTTTATGCGAATTTCATAAACTAACGTATTTTATGTTCTTATTTTTTTGTTCATTCAATTGCTTTAGGGCTTATCTATGCAAGTCGTAAGATTCCGTTTTGATGGATCTCCGATCAATGAAAATGATACACCTACGTCTCTTGAGATGGAAGAAGGAGATACAATTGAAGTTTACCAACAGCAAACAGGAGGATCAGGATCGAATTAAGGCGTGCGTGGGATAACAAGTTAAGATTCAATTTCCTACTTCTCACAAACCCACACACACACACACACATAATTTTAATTATATTCATAAGAAAAAATCAATCTTTTCCGAAAAAAAAATACATTAAAGTAATAACAATACTTAATGATGATACATTTTGTTTAAATATATTGATAAATAAGGCCGATAATATCCGATTCATATGAGGAAAGAATATAAATATAATGTAATTTTTTCTTTTTAAATTAAATTAATAGAAAATAATAAATTAAGGACTTGTCTCTCATTAAGGAAAACTATATATTGATGGAATTTACTCTTCTTTTCTACTACTTCTGTTATCATTTTTTAAGACTTATGTTTCTTTTCTTTCACTCTATATCTATGTCTCATTATTCCCGCTTCTTTTTTCTATATTAAGGTTTATTAATTTTTGTTTGGGATCAAAAAAAACAAACATCTTTATAATGATTTTTCAAGAAAAAGGAAGAATTTGAAGAATAAAAAAAAGGATATGTAAGCAAACAACCAACATCTTGGCATTTTTAATTTCTTTTGAACATTTTTTATTCAATTTTCTTTATTCTCAGGAAACAATAAAAACTTTTATAAATTATAAAAATCGTAGGGACTATGTGCGCATTTTTCCTTACAGATGTTCTATAAATAATAAGTTTTGATGACAATCATTGTCTAATTTTAAGGAACAAACTCACAAGAATTGACAAATTAAGGCTTACAATCTTAAATTCTCTCATTAACAATACCAAATGTTGGGGTGAACAAGCTGAATATTACATGCAAAATAGGCTTTCTTTGAAGGAGGATGCAATTCTATCGCAAATTTCAACCACAGAAACCTTTCAACTTGTTCATTCTACATTTATCGCAAGACAATATCCACTGACAGACACAGAGTTCAGAAAAATGCGCACAAAATAAGGAAATTAATGGTTACGGTTACATTTTTATGTTATAAACAAAGAGAAAATTAAGGAAATTGACTCAAACATAAACAATTTTTAACTGGTTCCTGGATTACATGTTTAAGGTATAGTATTATTAATTATTTACATTTCTAAACTTATAATCATGATTCACTGGTTGAGAGCTAAGATCTCTTCTACGTAATTTGCAACAACAGTTTCTTTCATAGTGTGATAAACAATAAATTCATTGGCAAGAAGTTGTTCATAATTTGGACGTTTTGTGAAATCTTTTTGAAGACATATGTTGGTTAAATTCTCAAAGGACTTTGAAAACATGTCAGGTGGAAGTGATGGCGATTTTTCTGTTACTACTTGCTTCAATTGCTCGAAAGGTGTTCTCCATGTTGCATAGGGGAACTTTCCTGTTGCCATTTCTATCAAACTTATTCCAAATGACCAAACATCACTCTTGATATCGTAATTTAATACCCCACTGCCTTGTGGATCGATCCTTTCTGGTGCCTGGACATGGGAATATTTTCATTATTTATTGAGTCTGGATTGACAGTTATTAAAGTACCTAGCTTATTTAAATAACGAATTTCAAAAATTCGAAACTTCATTTTTATAATTTTTCTGTATAATTTTCAAATTTTAAAAAACCTTTAGCTTTAAACATGATTTTGTTTCACAAAACATGTTTTAAGTTAACAGATTTTTAAAATTTGAAAATTATGTCAAAAAAAAATCAAGGCCATAGAACTCCCAAAATAGTATAGCTCTGAGTGAGTATTGTACAGTGACGTATTCAAACTATTGAGTAAAATTAAGTTAATATGAGCAAAGGGGCCGTTCACATATTACGTAACGCAAAAAAAAACTTTCCCCCCCCCCTTGTTACAATATGTTACAACTCACAACCCCCCCCCCCCTGAACGTGACTTCTTGACACCCCTCCCCCCTATGTTACATTATGTTACAATTTTTCAAACCCCCCCTCCCCCCTAAAATGCGAACGTAATAAGTGAACGGCCCCAAAGTGTATTTAAATATTGTAAAGTGAAGCAAAGTAAACCAAAGTATAGTAGAATGTAGCAAAGTGTATTAAAAGTGTAGCAAGTGTAGTTTAAGTGTAGTAAAGTATTTTAAAAGTATAGTCAGTATAGTAAGAGTATAGCAAATGTAGTAAAAGTATAGAAAGTGCAGCATCCTAAAACTGTTTAAAACTTTAAAAACCAAAATGTTTAATGTTAATTTTGAAATAATGCATATTTTACCATACCATTTATTAAATAGTCAATATTATCGCAAATTAAGAACCGATTATTATTTGAAATTTCATGCAATAAAATTCTTTTAAGTCTTGAGGAAATATTAACAAAGATAAAATGAATCTTTTCTCATTCACATTAAGGATGTCTTCCAAATTTCGAAGAACAGTAACGAAAGAAAAGTGCACTCATAGAAATAATTGTATAGTTTTGAAGAATACAAACTTAAGGCATTAATTAGAAATTGCTTTGACATGAATGAAATTATTTCTGCCTTAGCAGCATTAGTGCTTCATGTTTATGTAAGCTCTTTCTTTTCCATTAGCTAAATTTGGTTTAAAATGATAGAAACTAGTGTATCGAGTTGAAACTCAATGCGGATTATATTCACACCGTTTCATCAAAAGTCTTATGGATAGGCCAAGATTTGCCCATCATAAGTATGAAGGTATGAAGCTTGATAAGTCAACTGAGCTTCGCTCAGCATAAGTTTGAAGTTATAAAGCTAGCGAGTCAGCTGATCTTCGCTCAGCATAAGTTTGAAGATATAAAGCTATCGAGTCACAAAATGCGAAAAACTGATTTTTGAATCTGAACAAAGCCAATAGATTCACACGTGAAAACGGTGTGAATATAATAAAAAAATTACAAAAGTCCTCGTGTTTTGATCGAGTGACTTCAGCGCATTTTTGACGCAGCGATTAGTGTTTGCTTAACAATTTAATGCTTTATTTTTTAATTTTATAACAGTCAAAAAAAATTTGAAATTTTCTTCTAAAAATTGTTTTCTTAATATCCAAAAAAACAATTAATGTGTTCTTAAATGTCCGTATGTCTGAATAACGACCATTTACAATTTAAACTTTACAGATTTTCGATCGAAAATCATAAGTTGAAAAAATTTTTGTGGAAAGGTGTTTTTCTTAAAAAAAAAAAATGATTATCGCTAAAATAAATGAAGAAGTAGTTGGATCTATCTTTGGTCCGAGTGGACGAGTCTTACGTGAACTCGAAAATCGGTATAAGCTGAACGTCGATGCCCATAAACTTAGCGTAAGTTAAATTTTTATTTCAGAGGTTAATATGTTCATTTTTTTCAAATTTATATTTTTAGGATGATCGGAAGTTCCGAATTATATCGATTACCGGAAACATCATTAATACTTGTGGCTTCTTATACGAAATTGGCGAATTAGTCGGTTCAGCTAATATTATCATATCACCGAAAATTGCCGGCCACGTTTATGTTTATGCTCAATCGTTATTGAATCCAATCAATAGTAACGGAAGTCGTCCTCCTGCAAGCTCAGTCCCCAGTTCGACAGTCGCAGTTCCGAAATCCGGCAATGTAAACCTTATCGATTTAGAAACATCGATTATTGTCAAAAAGCACGATTCCGCCAGCTCAGACTCAGAATTTTAGTTATTTTTGATATAATAAAAGCCAAATAATAAAAGCCAAAATAGCCAAATAAGAGCTTACGTTTAAGTTTTTTTTAATTAATTCCGATTCCAGTTATTTTTCTAACCAATTGAAGTTCTAAAAATTCTATTTCTGAGGTGTGATGTATTTATACATCCAGTGAATCATATCAATTCAATATTAATCGATTTCCGGTTCAATCAGTTTGTGCTGTAATAAAGGGAAATAGTAAAAGACTGTTACAATTTTAATCAGTTTAATCTTCTCTTTATTTAATGTTTAATAAATGTTCTTTTTAAAACTAATTAGCTTTCGCGTGGAACACGGAAGGTGTTTTTTTAATATTTATTTTCCTTGTGAAACATCCATAAACGACTGAGATGTTTTTGGTTGTTGTGAAGGTTTTTCTTCTTTTGGACTTCCTTGTTCGTCTGGTTCATCTGATTTTACAGGTCCGTTTTCATCGTTATGGTCGTTTTTAATTCCGAAATTCATATTATCATCGCAAACCGGCTTATCGAGTTTCTTTTCTAAGCTATCGATTTGAGATAACATTTCAAGGCTTATCTCCATTTCGAAATTTTCGTCATCCTTCATACTGAGCTCGGTTTTGGTCGTTGATTCGATATCCGTTTCAACTTTTTGTTTTTTTACATTCCGTTCGACTTTTTCCAACATTAAACATTTCTCTAATAATTTGGCATCGTTTTTCGATTTGATCAGCTTGCGTTCGAGGTCTTTAATTTTGTTTTCATTTTTACGCTTAATTGCTCCCATTACTGAAACTGAAATTTAAATTAAAAAAAAAAAAATGATTATTTATTTTTTTTTTCAAACTTACGTCCAAATGCCGAATTTTCTATAATTTTTCCAAATTCCGTATTTAAATATCCATTTAAAGTTCTTTTATCGTCATCCGATTCGATTCCGAGTCTTTTGGCGCACGTATCTCGTTTAGCAACAATACTTTTTAAAAATATTTTTTCGTCCATTATAATTTTAAAGTTTTAAATTAGAGGCTAGGATTCAAAGAGTATGAAATTCAAATTTTTTTTTACCGTTTTCAATTAAAAAAATGCGCTAAAAACTAGAAGCTAAATTAATATTTTATTAATATATTATTATTTATTGTTTATCCTTTATTCTAATGACAATCGCCTTGTGAAATGAATAATACGACTCGTAAATTGAGGAATCGACATCGAAATTCGTCAAATTTCCAAATACAGCATCAATTGTAGTTCCCGCATTCGTAGTCGGCTTTCGAGGTGACAATAGATCCAAACCATACGTTTGTTTAATGAAATTTTCGAATTGATTACCAATTTGAAACTGGTGATTAAAATCACCCATTATAAGAACATCTCGTATTCCGATGAACTCGTGAATTTTCGAAAATGCTTCCTTTAGTATATCGAGATTCGATGCTGGATTGTTGTACACGTTTATTACGGTGAGTTTGTTGTCGATGCAATATCCAGTTAATTCGATATGATTGTTTGCGTCTCCGAGCTCTATTTCAATCCGGTTCGAAATTCGACTTTCTATTGAAGATTTACAGAAGTTAATCGTTCCAAATGCTCGAGGACGTCCTGATAACGAATTTCGTGATATTTCCTCGAAGTCCGGAATGTTGTACGACTCATTGTTAATTGCCCAACTCTCTTGAAATGCTAATATGTGGGAGTTCGTGTATACACTATCAGTAACGACTGACGAGATATGCTTTCGAATGGATTGGACGTTGTGACTGACTATTTGAATGACATTTTCAGGAACGATTCGAAGAAATTGAAATTTCGGAATTAGTGGATTTTGTCGAAGTCGTTCCATTTCGATTTTCACTGGATCGTTTTCCTCAATTTGACTAGGCGGATTAAACTGTCCGATAATATGCAATCCGTTCAACGAAGTCGCTCTCGAAAAGGCCACGTAGTATTTTTGGCGATTCATTCCTTTTCGAACATCAACGGTTACGATTTCCTCGGACCGGCCTTGACTTTTGTGTATCGTAATTGCTTCTGCCATCAATATTGGATATTGCTCACGACTTACTTGTACCTAAAATTTAAAACAGAAACATAGATGTTTTAAAATATAAAATTATATTGAAAACTTTACCTTTCCTCCTTCGGTTGTGTTGAAACATCTGTTAGTGACTGTTATTGGTGTCCAAGTTGGTTGAATTTGAGCATTTGCTTGCATAACGTTATGCCGAGTGCTTCTAGCTTTTGCTCCAGTCTTAACGTCATCGAATTCGATATAAATAGCATTGATTTTCCGGTTTTGCAATTCGACAAATCTAAGAATTCCGCAAGCACCGTTAAAAAGTCCATCACAAACGTCAATATTAGTGGAAATCATGTAACGGAGACCGATTACGAGTTGAAGCTCATATATTAAGCCTTGTGTATCATTAGGCTTCATAGATTTAATTAAATGACGTGCTCGACGTTTTTGCTCGTCTTTATATGTGCCGATGAACTTATCTACAGCTTTATATGTAAAATGCAATGCGTTAGCACGAATTAATTCTTGTGCACGTTGCATGTTGTATGTGTCGACTCCTTCATTAAATGCGATCAATCGGAGTCGAGTACGAGCAACAGTAGGAAGTGTATTTTCGTTAAAACATCGGCTTTCGAACAACTGATTGTCTTCTTGAGTAGTTCGTCCAACAGCAAGTCGATTCAATGCTTCAGCAAATCTTAAATCATCACGTTGTCTCATAATTTCGGTAAGTTCGAACATCTGAAAAGGCTTCCATTGTGGATTGTCGACAAGAGCTGCAGTTGAATGACGTTCTTTCGATTGAAAGCAATATGGGG